GGGGGGGGGTGCAGACCCTGATGCCGCAAGGACAAGGGCTTCAGGTAGCATGTGCTGTCAAATCACCTGCATACCTTTGTTAAAGAATTTGTGAGTATCATATTTTTAAAATTGGTCAAAAATTATTTAGTTGAAAATAACAAAAATCGTGTCCAACAAGGTATTCTTGACCTGCAGAAAAGTTGTCAGAATCTTTTAGAAGTATGCTGACGAGGCACCCAGGAGAGTGACTGCTCATGTCTGAAACAGAAGAGCTCAGCAATTCAGTCTCTGTTCCATTGTGCCTAGTTAATTTGATACATCCAGCTATTTTTTTTAAAGTTCTTTTAAATTCCAAAGGAAATTCTGCTTATCTTCAGCAAAAGACTGAATGTGTTGGCCTTTTTGCTAATGCATTCAATGTCTGTCAGCAACCAGGTTTAAAAGTAATAATGCTATTTGAGTTTCATCAGATCTATTTGCAACCAGTCAGAAAATAATAATTAAGTCAGTCTATACCTGTACATTTTATGTGAAAAAGTACTTAAGTTTTTTCTTTTTAGAAATGGATCATTTAATTCATTTTCTAACCACACTGTGTTAATACAGTCCCTACTTTTGAGTAAAATTGTTCACTAACTACCTATTTCTTCTCTCCTCTTTTGCCTTCATTTCTCCTTTGAATGTATCCATTGTGTAATTTCACATTCAACCATGGATTTGCTCCTGAGAACAGCCTGTTTTCATATGCCCACCATCACCACTCATCCGCTATGCCTCATCTCTTCCCCCAAACCTGTTGCCAGTCCCTGAAATGGACTTGCTTTCAGACATTTCGGAAGAAGACCCCTTTGGGGAGGCCGACCAAGTCACACTAGACAGCTTAGAGCTCCTTTCCACAGGGGAAACATCAGAGCAGGGGGACTGTGAAGTCGCTGTCCTGGATTCTGTCTCGGATCCTCTTGTAGCGCCTTCTCAGATTGACTGTCCTCCCAGCCCCGAGAAGCTAGAGCAGGCCGACCCCAAGGATTCTGAGATTGGGTCCTTCCCCTTCAGTTTCTGCAGATGCCTTCCGTCCAGCTTGCCCTCGCTGCTCGATGAAGATGGGTATCTCGCTTTCCCTAGCCTCCCCAAGGTCTGGGTCTCCTTCCTCCCTGCCGACGTCCAGCGCTATGTTCCCATCACCTCCCCTTCCTTCCTTCCCTCCCTCATCCTCATCTTTGGGCTACTTCTCTCTGCTTCTCAGTCAGTGCCTTTTTCCCTCACCTTTTCCCTTCCTCTGGCTCTGTCCCTCTGCTATCTGGAGGCCAAAGCCACTTCTTTTCATGTGTCTTACGACTGTGACTTGAATGAGAGAACCGAGGAAGAGGAAGCAGTTGTTGGTACCCCGACATAAGCTTCAATCTGTGCAGTCCACTAAACTACACTTCATCTCGTACCCTTCCCAGTGTCGAGTGTAAACATGTGCATAAACTTTACCGATTACCCTCAATGCAGATGAGCTGCACATTTTCACACATAAAACATTTCAGTGCATGAGAAATAAGTGTCAGCATCTTCCCTTTCATTGATATCCGTTGACCAGGTCCACCCATTCTAAGTTGAAAGCAAAGTTATAGGATTATTTTATAAATTTCTGTAGACCTTATTAGGTCGGGAAAAAAAGAACTTAGGATGCAGTGGACGTCACTGTAATTGATGTATATCAGTAGAGATCCTAATTATTAGTTCTTTGGTTCGAAAGCCAAGCTCGTTCTTGCATTTATGCATTTTTATTCCCTTACTCCTAACATTTGTAGTTCTAAACTCCTTGTCTCCCTATTATTGTAGTAGTTGGAGACCAGATGAATTTCAGGTAGTGTTGTGTTTTTTTAAACTCTAAATCATGTAAGTGTATGGCAGAGTCACTGTTAGGTATTTTGTAAGGAAGATATTATTCCGTTGTCTTTTATTTAACAAATGTGTATGGAAAATGAAACAAGGCTTTTTGAAAATTGAGAATATATAGCCCTAAGGTTGGGCCTCTTAGTATTCTTTATTTAAAATTAGATGTTTGGTTTGAGGATTTTTATTCCTTTATAGGGCTACCTCTGCACTACTAGTCAGTCCGTGCTAATGTGTGCATTACGTTTTTGATTGTTTTGTAAAATGTGGTCTGGTGACTTAGTTTCTCAATATCCTGTGGTTACTGTCAATACATAGAGTAAGTCTCAAAATTTAGAGCAAACCTAAAGAAAAATGTGAAGATAATGCTATGATTAGGCATTGTGGGAGAAACCACAAATCTTAGTTACCTGAGGATGGACATTTCAGAGAACTCAATGTTGTCCAAGGAATTGGAAGATAATTCTTAACAGATTATTGGCTGTGTCTAATTTTTACCTTCTGATAAAAAAGATACTCTTAGTTCCTTGCTAACTTCTCAAAAATACTTGAATACTTTTTTTTTAAAAAAAAGCATTTTGAACTCTCAGATTGGACACTATCATTTTAGTAAAGAAGAAAAAGAATATATGATCTTGCTGTCAATTAACATGTAAAGGTTAAACTAGTTTCCTTTGGTATCAGAATCAGTTTTTTTTTCTTGCCATTTCTGTCCTTGAGTCAGTAGTCATCAGTATTTATGCTAGTTTTCAATTTACAAATTTATTCTTTTGGGACATTAGACACTGAAAATTGTCCTATTATGAAAAACGATTCTTGTTTAAAGGATTTTATGGAAAAAAAAGTGGCTATATTTCAGGGAACATTTTTAAATACCCACCATTTTAACATGAATGTAGCAAAGTAAACCAATCCCTCCCCCCTGGAAAGAAATCTGTTAAAAAACTGAATAATAGGGTGACCAATTGTCCCTGACATAAAGCAAAAGCCAAATTTACAGAATTACACTTTGCCCTTATCACTAGTTGATTTAGACATTTCAAATTATAACTGAATTATGCCATTTTTACACTCTCCTATTTTCATTCCTGAGTAAAAATATATATATATTCCAAAGCAGTGCATGGAATGTAGGGCCTGAGAAAGAGTGAAGCTTCCATTCTTCATTCCACCTTTGCAAAGGATCATTTCCATCATTTATACAACACTGTAGGTGAAGAAAGACCAAGTGGCTTAATATTCTGCATCTTCTGAGGGCCACTCAATAAAGGTTGGTAATGCTGGTTCACCGTTGAAGTTCAAATACAGCTTCTTTGCACCGATGGTGGAGTTTCCACTAATACTTCAGTTTTCTGGCCATTTGCTGTATGACCTTTCAGGTGAAGATGGAAGAAGAGGAAACACAGCTGGAGGAGGTGGATATTTTTTCTCCAAAGTTAAAACCTGGTGGCTGCTGCCTGCCATTATTATTGTGTGTGGGGTGATGCTCACTGTCAGGGTTTATTTGTGAGTTTTGCTTGATGTGGCTTTAGGTCCTTAAGATTTTTATTACTTTTAATGTCTTAGACTGTCCAACTCTAGGTGGTTTCTGGTGCTTGCTGATTGATACACTTATGTTTATTTGCTTTTTTCCCCCCTGTGTGTGATTTAATTTCACAGAAAAATTCCTTGAGAGTAGAAGGGGATAATATTTATGTCAGACATAGCAATTTAATGTTGGAGGTTTGTATCATTTAAGAAAACAACTGTCCTGATGGCTGCCAGGCTGCTGTGGACGGGAGGTCACTCACAGGCTGGCTGGCAACTTTTTCCAAGCACGGTGCATGAAATGCATGGGGGACATTCAGCTCGGGAGTGCATGTTACCAGTCCGACTTTGTTCTTTTAAAGTGGCTTAGGTAGGAATGTATTTACTAGAAGTTCTCAAAGTAACAACTGGGAAAAAAAGTTCTATTTCATCCAACGAATAGAGTTTTTAGCCATTGATCATGAAGTTCTACAAGTAAACTTACTTTCTCCTAATGAGTCATCTCCAGGGCATGGAATCTGAAGTAACATGATCCCACCTTCATATACATTAACCAGAACAGGTATTTGTTGATCTGGCATTAAATCATTTTACCATTGATCTGTGTCCCCAATATTTTGGGGGTGGGGTGGGCATTGGCACTAAAATCCATGTAATTAGGAATGTGGTCCACTTAAAATATTTGTTGGAAAGTATGCTAATTAATGGGATTGTTTTAATTACGAAGAAAGAATAAATGAAAGAAAAAAGGGAAAAAAAACCCTAGCTACCCATTTAGGAATGTAAATTACATTCCCTGCGTCACACGAGAACTTTTTTTCTCCTTATTTAGGGCAGTACATGGCAATGTATTTAGTGGTGAACTGCAATTCTCAGTAATCCAACTAATCAATTTGGTTGCTTTTGGCAGCTTTGGTAATTATTGGAAATGTATTTTTGCATAACTTACTAAAATGCTCTAAAGTGTAATACATAACATTGCTTTGAACAAATACAAGAAATGTGCCTGATCTCAAGCCACAGTCATTTTTCCATGCCATGTAAAGATCTTTAGATTTTCGTGAGTTTTTGCAAATGGCTGTAGAAGCTCATAGATGAGCAACTATGCTTGTGCATGAATATGGAATATCTAATTTTATCAGATGCATGACCTGTTCCTCTGGGAGTGGGATGAGAGCTGTAATCAACAGGTGGCCCCCATGATTTTTGAAATGTAAGAAAACATTTAAAATTCAGTTAAGACCATTTCCTGAACAATAACTAGCTTTAATTCCCACAAATACTAGTTTATCAGGGCCAATATAAAAAATCCCACAAATACTGTTCATTAGGGCCTACTGCAATGAAAAATCAATGCAAGTACATGAAACTGGTATGAGGGTCACTTATTTTATGGAGAAATCAAATACAAGCAGCCTATGGGAGCTGTTATTTTTCTTCCTTAAGGATTAAAAGCCAGTGCTGGAATTTTCTGAAAAAAGTCAATCCTTGCTCCACCCTAAACCTAACCCTCCCTCTTTTTGGTAGATGATCTTGGATTGGCTTTCCCATCAGGCCAAATGTGCTTTTGAGTCCACATTCTCTGTTTTTACTTGATTTAATATGTTCACAGAAAGCAACTTTAGTAGTAGCCCTAATCAGAAAGGTGAATTTACAGGAACAAAGTCATAGGCTGCATTTCAAATCCAACTATTAGGAAGAAGAGTTATTAGCCATTTTGAGTCTTAGTTCCATGACTTCCTTCTAATAATGTGAATAGTTATTCCATAAAAATTCTAAACAGAGAAGACAGAACCCTTTACAATGTGAGTCATTAAAAAATTGCACATTGGCTTTATTTTCAAATTTTGAGGAACTCATTAAGGTTATTCATAGATGATAATATGGCTTTTGAGACTTGGCATTTTTCTTGCTTTACTATGTTTTTTTTTAATCGTAAGTTTGCTTTGTCTTATTTTTTGGTTTTATTTTTTATTTTTGTCCTACTGGGTTTTTTTCTTTTGGATTTCCCCCCCTTGATTACGTTACACATTGCTAGGACCTGGATAAGGCCCAGGAGGACATACTGAAACATCAGGCTAGCATTAGTGAACTCAAGCGCAATTTTATGGAGTCCACACCTGAGCCGCGCCCTAATGAATGGGAAAAGCGACGTATCACACCTCTGTCCCTGCAGACGCACGGGGTATGTCATGAGCTCCTCGTTGGCTGTATGTCTCCAGCTTTTCAGTAACACTCAGGTTGCTAGTTACAAAATGTTCCCAGTTGTTTTTTTTAAATGTAATTGCTAACATTTTTTTAAAATACTAAATATTCATTAACAATGTAATACGTATTGACCTAGTTCTCAGGTAAAGTGTATGAGTTTTAAAATAGTTTCAGAATAACTATTAAAGTAAATTAGTGGCAATTAATTTTTATATAGGATGACTTAGAAACTGACATTATATGGTATTTAGTAAGCTTTTCAGATACTGACTTCTGAAATAAAGTTTGCTTAATAATTAGTGTAGACTGTATCTAGAGTGGTTTAAGGTAATTACTGTGAGGAGAATGAGTTAAACTTAGTTTTGAAGATTGATGAGCCTTGTTGAAAACTTGCAAAATGTTATACAACTTAATACTGAAACGTCCTAGTAATGAAATGTTCACTAGTGTTTTAAAAAAATTTTCAACCATAACACTTTTTCTTTCCTTGACTACTTCTCCTCATCAATATATGTATTGCCTTTAGAATATATTCGCAGAGTATTTCTCCATTCATTCTCATCTATATCTGTTCTTTTCTGATGCTCTCAAACTCTCTATTATCATCCAAGAACTTCCATGGGCTCATTTGTTATACTTGGGACAGTGAGTTGGCTATATTTAATACACAGTTTAAAAAGTGTATAAAGGTCCTAACCCTACAACTCATCTTTCCCTTTTTCCTTACACCTCTCACTTCTCCTTAAGTTCATCAGACAGTCTGGTTTGAGTGTTGCCAGATTGTACACATTTGATTTAGGAAGACAGTCTCATGCTATTTTTATTAAGCTTTTCATAAAAAGCAAATATGTTAGTTTCTTTAAGTTTCTAAGTTTGTGACAGTGAAAGTAAAATAGCTCTTTAAGAACAAATGAGCAAAGATAATTGCTGAACCAAAATAACAACCTTTGAAAATACTAAGATGTAAAACACCATGGTAGGGTTTTATGAAGTTGTGTATAACTTCTCATTTTAGATTTTCCGAAGGTCTTAACGTTCATATTTCAGCAGTTGACTCTAGAGTATTGTGTTTTCTGGAGAAGCAGTATCTGACACACTAAGATTTTGACCTCCCTGTATGTGCTGCTTCACCTGGTGTGTTCCGCTGATCCACACAGTTGTTTTGTTTGTGTTGCTGTCGATGTGATGTACTTGTCTTATTTGTTGATTATGTCTATTGTTTAAAACAATAGAGAAAAGGAGACCATCTTTTCAAGGATATTTTATCCATGAAGGAGAAGCATCAGATGGCGGCAACACGGACAGTTGAAGAAAAAGCCCAGGAGGCAGACAAGGTGTTCACCTGGCATCCTTGGTTCTACTCTTGCTTTCTCCGCTTTTCATTTTATTTCTTTCCACAGCTATAAGATACTCTTTTTTTCTTATTTATCGATCTAAAATTTTTTTGGAAATAATTTTCGAGCATTTAAAAAGTTAAATCTCCATGTATAGAAACAGAGGATCATTAGGTGAGATATTGCAGATGTACTTAATTTCAAAATTCACAACTTCAAATGCAGACATATCAACTGATTAATTAATAAATGACCTCCAATTTTGACATATGTGGCTGGCAGTCGGGAAACTGCTTTCATGTGAAAATGCACTGTTTGTACAACGCTGCGCTCACTGTGGTGGTGTTAAAACAAACTATATGCAATTTAGGTTACTAGCTTACTAATTATTATTTGGAAACCTTTTGAATTTTCATTTTTAAGGTTTTCAATGGGAAAAAAAGATTTTGGTGTACCATAGCAGCCCGTCGGATCTCTCTGTGCTTTCGCATATACAAAACATCTGGTGTTGCCAAGAAGTTAGCTTTCTGTTGCTTTTACACTCTTTATCTGCTTTCTCCTGGTTTTGCTTAGCTAGCTGGTCAGCCAGTTAACTGGTGGGACGAGAGAGCCTAGAGTCTGTTGGAGGAGACAGCCAGTGGACATGTATATATTAGAAAATGCGGGGTACTAAAGAAGTTGGTGTTGAAGATGAAACAGTTTTGTGTTAGGTGATAGGGAGGGCTGTTTTACCCATTGTGGTTGGCAAGAGTTGGCATTTAAATTGAGACCTCGATGAGGAGGAGGCAGATGGGAAAGTTTTTCCGTGCACAGGGAAGAGCACATGCAACAGCCCAAGCAGGAGGTAGTTTAGGGAACCGAAAGAGCAAATCACCAGGGGCTTAGGGAAAGTCAAGGAGATGAGACCCCAGATCCTGTCAGGTCTGAAAGGCCATTTTGACATTTTGGAATTGCATCCCAGGAGTAATGGGAGGCCACTGGAGAGCTTTAAACAGGGTCTGACGGAGACGCCTCCGCTGCTGGCTGAGGACTGGAATACAGGGGATGTGACCGAGAGCAGAGATCGGTAATAAGTGCTTCCCTTCCACAAAAGTCTGATTTTGTAAATCAGCAGAGAGCATTGTTTATCAGAACATCCAGTGGGGTGGAGAAGGAGGCAGAAGAAATGGAAGATGAAGTCTTGCCCTAAGGGAATTTGAGGTGTAGTTGAGAGTAAATATTTCCACAATCCTGCAAATGAGAAAGCTAAACCAAGTGGCTTATTTATGTATTTAAATGTTAGCGTGAAGTCCAAAGCCAGTTAGACTCTGTGTAAAATGACTTTAAAAAATTATGTATTTTTGAAACTTTCACCTCCAAAAGCAAGTCAAACAGTGGATTTGTTCAGTTTAAAGTAATGCCCTTGTACTTTCTGTAGCAGGAAACCTTGGAATTTTGTTGAAGAGGTTTATAGTGATCGTTTTTCTGGATGTCATGGTTGAGGAATGTACAATATAAAATACGTTGTAGAAGTTACCTTAAAGGGACAGTTCATGAAATTTAAACCTGGGATTTACCCACTGTTAAGCTCCAGAACGGTTTATCTGCACTTGACGTTACTGCTTCTTTCTTGTTCTTTTCCGCTCTGGCACATGCAGGAAGATACGTACTTATTTGACATACACATGCATTGTTGTAACCGCAGTCATCCATTCATCCACTCTCCCAACAAACGTTTATTGGTTTACTGCGTGCAGTGTGTCTTTCCCCCCAAATAACATATCACTACTATTAATTCAAAGTATATGAGTAGTTAAGTCTACTGCAGTGTTTTGACCTTTAACAGGATGTCTTAAAAATTTCTGTCTTTGCTGCATGTTCATCTTGCTACTGATTTTGCAAGGTTTTTTTTATTATCTTTAAGTTAATCAAAGAAATAATCCTTAAAGAAATGTAAAATAAAAACAATTATGCATGAGTATACTTTCACCACATTTTCCAAATTTCTGTAATATGGGTTTTATAGATTTCTATAAAACAGTAATAATTTCTTGTTTGAAAGTTAATGCATTTAACTTTCAAAATAGCTTCAGTTCGAATACTAACAATTTTGAGAATAGAGCAGAAGACTGGAAATCAAATCATTTAGTCTTTAATAGGTAAATAACTATTGTATATCCTCTTATGTATTGAAAATTATGACATACTTAAACTCATATAATACAAGATTCTCTCATGAGTCTAGTAGAGATTATAGACTATAGTTCTGAAGTACTTTTGAAGATATTTTATTGAATAATTAAATGCACGGCACTTACTTAAATTCCCCAGTGATCTCTTACCAGGAAGGACACCCTCTCCGCCAACTCAACCCTAGGGATGTTGCGTAATTATGGAGATTATAATTAAAATGAATTAGTCCAGAAGTTTTTTATTTCCCCTGAATGTTGCAAATACCTCGCCCTCTTCATCTCATTGCCCCTATTCCTCACTCCTAGCATACTGTCCCAAAAGGGGCATCCCTAAAATGTCATCCATCCATCCATCCATCCATCCATCCATCCATCCATCCATCCATCATCTTTAAGCTCTATGAGCAGTGGGGTTTATTGGGAACTATTCTTCCACACTTCTGGCAGTGGGGGAGCTTCATGGTGACTCTTTGCTGTTGGCATTCCAGGTGCCTGGGACAGTCCTCAACTCTCCTGTTGTGCCCTCAGGCAGGTTAGGGGCCATCGCTTAAGGGCCAGAAATGTGAAGATGACATTTGCCTTACTAGTTTTTCAGGGACAGAAGATTTTAACATTGTTCACTGAGTTTTTACCTCTGAGTTTTTCTTTCTACTTAGAATTCTTTTCTTTACCTGTTTCTTACTGAGGGGGCGGGGAGTACTATTTCTTCATTCCATGGCATATTTAGCATGTCTGAGGGAATTTCTGTGAGTTGCAATCAGATCACTTGTGAACAAAGTAATGTGGAAAAGGGTAGAGATTGTAGGAGCTGGAATGGTTAGGGAAGGGCAGGCACAAAATATGGAATTTTAGGCATACCTCAGACAGATGACAAAATTCGGAAGGGCACGAGGCAGGAGGATGGGTCCACCCAAGCTATGACACAGGAATAAGCAGGTAGGGGCCACTGAAGAGGCCATTCTGTGCAGAAGGCTTACGCTGAAGAGCTACCTCAAGAATATACAAAACAGTGTCTGATGAGGGTAGGTCATGCTCAGTTTGTAATGAAAACTTTTGTGACAATCCAAGTAGTTTTAGCTGTTTTTCACAGGTTAGAGCTATCACAGGTTCTCAAGCAGGGTGGAAAGCTGGCATTCAGGGAAACCGCCACCTGCACCTGCTGCAGAATCTTTGCGAATGAATCCTTGCCTTTCTTGCAATTTACACTGTCCTGTGATTCTTTCTTGTGTAACCTTTCCTTCGTTTTAATAGGTCACTGCTGCCTGTTCCAACTTACTAACTCTTTGCTCTTCCTTTTCTGACCTCTAGAGCCTAGAAGAGGAGATAACATCAATTTTGTTTAGTGGGAAGGGCTTTTCTGGTAGCGCGAAAGCCTTCACCTCAGCCACCACTCGGACAGCAGAGGGCACTGCTGTGAACTGTAGTGCTCCTCCTGAACCGCTTTCTTCCTCACCCTCCTCACAGTTGCCTGAGGTGCATTTTACTTTGTTTCCCGTTTTTAAAAGCCACATATGAGAGTGATTTTTATTTCTGAGATATTCGGGAACCCTTCCCTTCAGTGCTATCATTGCTGAAATTAATTCTTCCTGGGAGAAACACTCATGAAATAAGGACTGAATTTGGACATAAGGAAAGGATACAGATTGGATGTTCTCCTGCTGCTTTTGCCCCCCCCTCCCCCAAATCTGACTCGATTCAGAGAATCATTTAAACCACTAATGCCTAGATTTGGAGTTGTTCTGTGGAGGGAAGCCCTCCACCAAGTATAGAAACTGAGTATGCTTTGCAGAATTAAAAGTATTCAAAGCCCAAATGTCTTTCAGGCATCTTCTGATGCTTATAATTTAAAAAATTCTCTTTACATGGAAAAACTTGAGGTGCCTGCCATATTCAGTGAAATAATTGTTTTCCTTTTTTGGAATGAACCTAAGGAATTCCCTGAACTTGGGCAGAACCCATCCTACCATTTGAAGTTAAGTAATAATAATAATTCACTGACCTGCAATAATAATGAACATTTAGGTACTGTAACTGAACAGGAGTAAATTTACTCCCGGAAGTAGACGACTGCAGGGGGGCATGGGTGAGCATCTCAGATAACAAAGTTGGTTCATTTCGGTTTTCAAAGGTGCTAGTGGAGGAGCTAAACTCTAAGAGAAAACACCTGGCGGCGTCATTGACATCCACCCTGATGTCATGATCCCCCTTTTGCTGATCTCTAGTACAGATGGGATGTTAGCCATTTCTGAAACAACATTTTTATGTTAATAGTTGTCTTGAGACCAACTATAATTTTGCCAGTGGAAGCTGTGTTTTTAACCAAACAAAGGTTCCATCTTATTAATACTATATTTCTTTCGGAATCAGGGTATCAGGAAGGCTGTATAGTCTAAGACCGAAACTGTTTTTTGAACAGGTTTTATAAACTTATACTTTAAAATATAATCAGTAAACTTTGGTATAATTCCAGTTTTTCCCCCACCTTTTCAACTATTTAAGTAGAGCTTATAGGCATACCTATAATAAAAGCTCTTTACTTCTTTGGGAAGACGCTGGCTGTTTTGTGTTTTTGTGTCCTTTTGTAAGCTTTTTGCCTCTGTCTTGATTGTCTTTCATGCGACCTTGAGCCAAGTTTTGTGGCTGTCAGTCCGTCCTGTTCTGTCTCCGCAGTGTCAGGTGTTTGTTTTGGTGGGTGTTGAGGTAAAACTGTATTGATTTTGTGTCCTCGGTTGCTTTTTGTTCCGCAGAAACGCTCTCCCGAGTCCGAAGGGCCTGGCGCTGGAGCCGGCGGTGCCGTTAAGGTTCTCCCCCTCCCCCGTTAACACCATTGCCTGAGCTCACCCCTCACGTTGTCCCGCTTCCCTTCCAGTCAGCCATCCGCATCATCACCGCTCCTCCATGACACAGCCCGCCGTCGGTAGCGCTGCGCCCGTCGCTGTCCTCTATTCACGTGCTTTTGTTCTCCCTCATCCGCTTCTTTCTTGTGCAGAGTTCACATGAGACTCTGAATGTAGTGGAGGAGAAGCCGCGGGCGGAGGCGGGGAAAGACCGCAGCGAGCCCCCGGGAGACACGAACGGTAACGAGCCGCCGCCCGGGCGTGGCCCTGGGGAGCTGCGGCAGGTGGAGCCCCTGGCCCCGAAGGACTCCACCTCCCTGTCTTCTGAGAGCAGCGGCAGCGAGAGCGAGAGCGAGAGCGAGGACGACGCGGGAGAGTACCGGCCGGGCCGCGCGGGGCCCGCGGCCATAGCGGAGGAG